CGCCCCTGCCGCCGACCCCGGAGAAAAAAAAGAGGTTTGCGCTGTGTTTTCACACAGCTCAAGTTGGTGGCTTTTCCATAGCCATGATACGAGAGGAGAGATAGAGAGAGATATATATATAGTTAAATTTCACCAGAGCGAGGCAATATATTTTGGATGTTTTTTAAATGTTTGTTTATGTTGCATTCTGACATAGTGTTGCTGGACAGTCAGGCTTGTGCTTGAGGATTTTTCATTTGGGATCTCAAATGACTGAAATTTTCAGGGGCTGACAACACCAGGTCACAAAAAGCCATGGAACGGCTAGGGTCGACATTGTCATTTTTAATGTGCAGGTAAACATCGGCATTCGACATCGAGGATGTTAGATAGATAGATAGATAGATAGATAGATAGATAGATAGATAGATGGTCTGCAGGCTTGCTAGATTCGATAGATGGATAGATAGAGATAGATCGATCGATCGATAGATAGATGGAGATAGATAGATAGATAGATCGATCGATAGATAGATAGGTCGATAGATAGATAGATAGATTAGATAGATAGATAGATAGATAGATAGTTAGATAGATAGATAGATAGCTAGATAGTTTGATAGATAGGCAGGTAGTGGCAGGTAATGGTAGGTAGGTAGATGGATAGATAGAATCATAGATCTGTGTATATTTAATAGATATATATATTCATATATATATATATATTCATATATATATATATATTCATATATATATATATATTCATATATATATTCATATATATATATATTCATATATATATATTCATATATATATATATTCATATATTATATATATATATATATTCATATTATATATATATTCATATATATATATATTCATATTATATATATATATTCATATTATATATATATTCATATATATATATATGTGTGTGTTTCATTGTCAGTGTTTCATTGTCAGTGTGCATCTGTCTATGTCTCTGTCTTTTTGTTCCAGGCTGACTCACATTGTACCATATCCTCCATATCGATCCATATCTATCCACATTCCCAAATGGTGAGGGCGGGCTGCATCCTTCTTGGTTCCAGCCTGGCAGCATATATCGCTGTATATGTATTAGGTTACGATATATGACTACAATCCAATAGTTTTCGACCATTTTTTGTACCGCTGTTTGTACAATGAGATATAGTGAGACAGAGAACTCTCCTGCTGCTCCTGTTGCTGCTGCTGCTCGTCCTCCCGAAGCTGAAAACGCACGCTGCCGGACAGGGAAACACAGTGGCCCTGAAGGACGGAACAGCGCCAAAATCGAGCCCAAAAACTACCTAACGTCCCTTCTGAAACCCTAGAAAAACAATAGTTTTCGACCAGTTTTTGTACCGCTGTTTGCACAATGAGACATAGTGAGACATAGAACCCTCCTGCTGCTCCTGTTGCTGCTGCTGCTCTTCCTCCCGAAGCTGAGAACGTATGCTGCCGGACAGGGAAACACAGTGGCCCTGAAGGACGGAACAGCGCCAAAATCGAGCCCAAAAACTGCCTAACGTCCCTTCTGAAACCCTAGAAAAACAATAGTTTTCGACCAGTTTTTATACCGCTGTTTGCACAATGAGACATAGTGAGACATAGAACCCTCCTGCTGCTCCTGTTGCTGCTGCTGCTCTTCCTCCCGAAGCTGAAAAAGCACGCTGCCGGACAGGGAAACACAGTGGCCCCCGCCAAAATCGAGCCCAAAAACTGCCTAACGTCCCTTCTGAAACCCTTGAAAAACAATAGTTTTCGACCATTTTTTGTACCGCTGTTTGTACAATGAGACATAGTGAGACATAGAACCCTCCTGCTGCTCCTGTTGCTGCTGCTGCTCTTCCTCCCGAAGCTGAAAACACACGCTGCCGGACAGGGAAACACAGTGGCCCTGAGGGACGGAACGGCGCCAAAATCGAGCCCCAAAACCGCCTAACGTCCCTTCTGAAACCCTAGAAAAACAATAGTTTTCGACCAGTTTTTGTACCGCTGTTTGTACAATGAGACATAGTGAGACATAGAACCCTGGCTTGCTGCTCCTGTTGCTGCTTGCTGCGTTTCTCCCGCCGCGGAAAACGCACACTGCCGAAAAAAACAATAGTTTTCGACCATTTTTTGTACCGCTCTGGTATGGCACTACATGAGACATAGTGAGTGAGGACTGAACCCTCCTGCTGCTCCTGTTAGAGCTGTGCTGCTCTTCCTCCGACGCTGAAAACGCACGCTGACAGGCGGACAGGGAAACACAGTGGCCCTGAAGGACGGAACAGCGCCAAAATCGAACCCAAAAACTGCCTAACGGCCCTTCTGAAACCCTAGAAAAACAATAGTTTTCGACCATTTTTTGTACCGCTGTTTGCACAATGAGACATAGTGAGACATAGAACCCTCCTGCTGCTCCTGTTGCTGCTGCTGCTCTTCCTCCCGAAGCTGAAAACGCACGCTGCCGGACAGGGAAACACAGTGGCCCTGAAGGACGGAACGGCGCCAAAATCGAGCCCCAAAAGTGCCTAACGTCCCTTCTGAAACCCTAGAAAAACAATAGTTTTCGACTATTTTTTGTACCGCTGTTTGTACAATGAGACATAGTGAGACATAGAACCCTCCTGCTGCTCCTGTTGCTGCTGCTGCTCTTCCTCCCGAAGCTGAGAACGGACGCTGCCGGACAGGGAAACACAGTGGCCCTGAAGGACGGAACAGCGCCAAAATCGAACCCAAAAACTGCCTAACGTCCCTTCTGAAACCCTAGAAAAACAATAGTTTTCGACCATTTTTTGTACCGCTGTTTGTACAATGAGACATAGTGAGACAGAGAACTCTCCTGCTGCTCCTGTTGCTGCTGCTGCTCTTCCTCCCGAAGCTGAAAACGCACGCTGCCGGACAGGGAAACACAGTGGCCCTGAAGGACGGAACAGCGCCAAAATCGAGCCCAAAAACTGCCTAACGTCCCTTCTGAGACCCTAGAAGAACAATAGTTTTCGACCAGTTTTTGTACCGCTGTTTGCACAATGAGACATAGTGAGACATAGAACCCTCCTGCTGCTCCTGTTGCTGCTGCTGCTCTTCCTCCCGAAGCTGAGAACGCACGCTGCCGGACAGGGAAACACAGTGGCCCTGAAGGACGGAACGGCGCCAAAATCGAGCCCCAAAACTGCCTAACGTCCCTTCTGAAACCCTAGAAAAACAATAGTTTTCGACCATTTTTTGTACCGCTGTTTGTACAATGAGACATAGTGAGACAGAGAACTCTCCTGCTGCTCCTGTTGCTGCTGCTGCTCTTCCTCCCGAAGCTGAAAACGCACGCTGCCGGACAGGGAACCACAGTGGCCCTGAAGGACGGAACGGCGCCAAAATCGAGCCCAAAAACTGCCTAACGTCCCTTCTGAAACCCTAGAAAAACAATAGTTTTCGACCATTTTTTGTACCGCTGTTTGTACAATGAGACATAGTGAGACATAGAACCCCCCTGCTGCTCCTGTTGCTGCTGCTGCTCTTCCTCCCGAAGCTGAAAACGCACGCTGCCGGACAGGGAAACACAGTGGCCCTGAAGGACGGAACAGCGCCAAAATCGAACCCAAAAACTGCCTAACGTCCCTTCTGAAACCCTAGAAAAACAATAGTTTTCGACCATTTTTTGTACCGCTGTTTGTACAATGAGACATGGGGGGGGGGGGGGGGTTTTTTTTGGGGGGGGGGGGGGTTTTTTTTTGGGTTTTTGGGGGGGGGGGGGGGTTTGGTGGGGGGGGTGGGGGGGGGGGGGGGGGGACCTTTAGTGAGACAGAGAACCCTCCTGCTGCTCCTGTTGCTGCTGCTGCTCTTCCTCCCGAAGCTGAAAACGCACGCTGCCGGACAGGGAACCACAGTGGCCCTGAAGGACGGAACGGCGCCAAAATCGAGCCCAAAAACTGCCTAACGTCCCTTCTGAAACCCTAGAAAAACAATAGTTTTCGACCATTTTTTGTACCGCTGTTTGCACAATGAGACATAGTGAGACATAGAACCCTCCTGCTGCTCCTGTTGCTGCTGCTGCTTTTCCTCCCGAAGCTGAAAACGCACCCTGCCGAAAAACAATAGTTTTCGACCAGTTTTTGTACCGCTGTTTGTACAATGAGACATAGTGAGACATAGAACCCTCCTGCTGCTCCTGTTGCTGCTGCTGCTCCTCCCGAAGCTGAAAACGCACGCTGCCGGACAGGGAAACACAGCGGCCCTGAAGGACGGAACGGCGCCAAAATCGAGCCCAAAAACTCCCTAACGTCCCTTCTGAAACCCTAGAAAAACAATAGTTTTCGACCATTTTTTGTACCGCTGTTTGTACAATGAGACATAGTGAGACATAGAACCCTCCTGCTGCTCCTGTTGCTGCTGCTGCTCTTCCTCCCGAAGCTGAAAACGCACGCTGCCGGACAGGGGAAACACAGTGGCCCTGAAGGACGGCCTGCGGGCAACGGCTCCACAACAAACTCCTAGCGAGCGGTTGCGAAACAACAGCCTCCAAGGCGAGAAACCAACAGCCAGACATCTTTCTCGAAACTCGTAGCCGTAGCCGTAGTCGTAGTCGTAGTCCTAGTAGTAGTAGTAGTAGTAGTAGTAGTAGTAGTAGTGGTAGTGGTAGTAGTAGTAGTAGTCCGACAAGGGTCAAATGTCTTATTCCCTGGCGCGCTCCCCCTTGCGTCTGCCGGGGTCGGCGGATTTGGTTGGTGCTTTGGAACATGGCTGAAATATTGTTCCAGGTATTGGGAACAATAATCCCATTTGACTAGTATTTTTCAGAGGGGTAGGTCAACCACCAACCAGTTGACTAATGGTGGCCCCCGCAGATCCTCACGATCAACTGGTGAGATGATCCACAAAAAAACTCGATCCGATTTCTTGGAGACTTTCGAGTCATCGCTCGAAATCGCAGAAGCACATTGGTTTTATCATCAGGTATCATGAACCTAGCAAAAAGTGCAAAAAGTGGAGCAACCACATCTAGAATCAATCATCTAGATATGATCATATTGAGATACAAGAGTTCTTCAGTGTGGCCGCAGCTTCCCCCTGTTTTTTTGGTGCCCAGGTGATGCTGGATCCATCCTCAAGACTCTGATACCGGCGGGCGACCTGGTTAACTCCGTTTCGACCACGAGAATCGATCTGCTTTGGGACCATGACTGCCATGACTATTTCAATCTTGGGTTAACTTGGGTGAGACTAGTCCTAGTTTGAAGAAATATGATGAAATATGTTGGTAATTTGGAGCTAAGTTTTTGTCCAATCATTTGAGACTTCCATTTTTGGAGAAATACAGGAGCTACACTAGCAAGATGAACCCAGCAAGATTGTATGGTCAAGCTGGTGTGCCTCACCGAAAAGCTGAACTTGAAGTTCCCTGGAAACATGTGGAAGATTTTGGTTCTGCATGTTTCTGCTAGAACTTGCCACTTGATGAGCTTAAGCTGGCGTCCATTTTGCCATCAACAGTCGATTCGAGTTGAGCACCTCCTTCTAGCATATGCTGTTCATGTCAATGGTATCCAAAAGATAAAGGTGTCCAAAAAATGCAAAGTCTACCCTGCATATCTATCATATTTTATCTTAGATAGGAAAACCAAGAAACACGGTTTTCCCTGGCGTTTCCTTGAATCTTTCCTGGTGAGTATTCTTTAGGTCATCAAACATGGTAGTTGATTTTCCCATTCAAGCCAAACCTCCATTTAGTTCGGGGATTTCCTATCATATCATATCATTATCATATCATATCATATTTGTCATGAATGGGGGTTAGTATGATGAGGGTTTTCCATGTTTTTTCCTATCATTTAGTTCGGGGATTTCCCAGGGTACGTTGGATTACGGCTACCTCAGGTAGCATCTCCATGATCTGCATCAACTTCCCCGAGCCTCCGCAAACGAGCCGCTGCTTTGCCTGGAAATTAACTAATCGATATTGCATATCTATATGTATGCATGTTATATACACAAAAATCAATCAAAAACATATATAATCACATATATAGTCATAAACATAGATAGATGGATGGATGGAAGGATGGATGGATGGATGGATGTATATGTATATGTATATATATATATATTACCTGTACATGTTTTTTGGCGTTTGATTGAAGTGCCTTTGAGGGTACAGTACGCGTTTGATGATGTCTTGCTTGTGCGAGGTCATTTTTGCTACAGTTGGAGCCAGCAATAAGTGCTGAACATTCATGTTCTTGTTTGGGATTCTCTCACTGCTCTTGAATCCATGAAGTTGACAGGGTTATCCTCCGCCGGTGTGATCAAACACATCTTGCCGCGGCCTGCTGGGAATATCCCCATTGGTAAATGAACTTCCCGGCTATAAACCTCCATTTAACTTAAGGATGTTTAGCTGCCATGTTTGATTACCAGAAAATTACGAAGAGGAAAAGAACCAAACATCATGGGAGAGCAAAATAGAGCAATAGCACGGACAGCACAAGAAGGAATTTCCGAGGCACATCCCCACACTTCGAAGCTGATCCAAACATCAACAACTGCCCTTTAAAACTTGAAAGGGCATGTCCCGGTTTGGCCTTGAGGGCTGGAGAAAAACAAACTGTAGTCGGTCACCTTCAGCCACGATTCCATGCGTGACTTGATCCATACCTGTAGACACGTCATGGAAACCAAGGAAACGTGTCTCGATGGCAGCTGATCCGTCACCTGGGGGCTTGGACATGTGTTATTTAAGTTATTTTCGAGGTTTTTCTTGGGCCGGAAACTCGACGAATTACACTTACTGTACATGAATTGACACATGACATGAATTGTAGAATTTTATGATGTTTTTTTCGGTGACCTTTATCCACTAACAGTTGTGTTTGGACAGGATCCACGTGGTTTTGTACCTGAGGATCCAAGGATCCACTCCCAGGGAGCGACGAGTTTTTCGGCACGAATCTTTAAGGCTTGTTGTGATGACGCGGAATCCTCACTTCACCTCTTGACCTCGGAGTTTTTCATGGAACCTCGGCGTTTAAAAAAAAACACGGTGCCCCAAGGGGCGGTTGCCCCTTGGCTCAATGTGAAAATTATTTTTTTTCCAAATAGTTGATGATAGTTGTTCCTGATTTGACCGAACTGGTGTGGTTTTCATTGTTTTTTTTTGGGGGTGGAGATGTCTTTGAAATGCGTTTAATCTCCATTTGCATACTTTGCAGCTCAGAGATTGGAGGTGGACGGTGTGAAACATACTTGTGCCCTCCGTTTCCAATTTCTTCAAAGACCACAGAGCCGAACCTGATCATGCGATGAATGAATTTAACACATATAGAAATCATCCCTACTGGTAGCGTACCTTCGGATCAGGATGCACATGCTGCGCTTTCATGTGAAGGGGTCTGGAGACCCAGCGGGGAAAGGGAGTCTTCAAACATCACCGCAAGGGTATATATATATATATACATTATACATACATGATCTTATATAATTCTGGTAGTTTGGGATATTTTTGTAGTCTATGCAACAGGAGAGGGATGAAAGAGGGAATCGCACATTTTTTTGTGGCCTGTCCCACAACGGTTATCATTGCAGTGATGAGTTGGTTTTGGCCTACGGAGATGGACCATGACCTAAATCGCATTGTTTTCCTAACAGCGCAATATATAATATAGCATGATATCAATGATATATTGATATCTATATAAAATATGATGTGTATTGATGTGTTTAATTCTTAATTGTTATCAAGTGGCCTGGAAAATTTCAAGCGTCCGAACTAAATACGTCAATGTCAAGAACTCAAACGACACGCCCAAAGGATGACCCGCTGTGGATGTTACCTGAAAGGTGAATCAAATAGTAGCCGCGGGTAACATAGCTATTGAAAATAACCGAGTACAGTTGACATACCTATATGATATATATATATATATGATATATAAAATATGTATTTTTCCATAGTTGCGTACCAGAGGGTAACTATAAAATCATCAGATCTCACGGGTGACGATTTCGTTGAAACAATCGCCCAAAAAGGTCCTGACGATTTTTTCCGACAACGAGGAGTACATGCGTTCGTTGGCTCGAACCATTGGATGCTTGGCGAGTCCAGTTTTAGCAGCACTATCCTGGGGTGAAGTGTAACATAGATGCCACCAAAAACCATGGTTTCCTGATCTACAAATGGTGGCTTTTCATGGCTTTTCCACATTGATACATCGCTTTTCCACATTGATACATTTGTATGTTTGTTTCCTACAGTGCACGATTTCTTCTAGATTCTATAACGAAACAGTGTAACAGCGTTGCAATTAGGAGCGGGGGAATGTTTTGTATCATTTGGCTTACCTCCCAGTAAACTAACATTGCTATGGACAATGGTCCATTTACAGATGATTTACCTGTAACAAGTGTGATGTTAAATAAATGTTGTTTACCAGAGGGTACTGCACCAGGCAATTTAACCAAATTTCTGAACATTATATATTATTATATATTAATATATTGGTCTCGTCAGTGTGAATCGTGGAGAGAGTTTCCAGGTAGCTATTCTAAAAACATTAGTTTGGGTGGTAAATATTTTTGATGTATTCCGACACTGTGGCGGTTCTCAGCAATTCCCCAACTAGGCTTCTAGCCAATTTAAGATGCTTTTGGGGATAATGGTAACTCAATTCTGTACTTAACCACTACCTCTGGAAAACTAACATAGCTATGGAGAATGGTCTATTCATAGTTGATTTACCTATTATATAACTTACCTATATATATATATATATATATGTATAGATATGTTTTTTTCAGATGGTAATTTTCTATCGTTGTATGTTTTCCAGAGCTAGTTCAACGTTTAGCAGGGGAGCTCAGCACCAGATCCCGATCCCCCATCGATCCGATCGAAGGAACGCTGCGCAACGGCCGCGGATCCGGGGCTTCTCGATGCTTCGAGCCGCTGGCAGACGTGCCTGCGGAGCATTTGGAGAACGCCGCTCGGGGGCCCAGTGGTTAAACCACCCTTTTGTAAATGGGGACCTTGAAAAAATGGGGATTTCATGGGGAACATGCTTTTTTTTACCATGGAGTATATACAGGTGCTAGTTTTCCGTAGCTTTCGTTTAGAGTACGGTAAAGTAGTTTATAGATGATTTACACATTAAAACTGGTGATGTCATAGCTACAGCTAAATTACGATAGGGGAGCATGATAGATAGAAGGTTGAAAATGGTGATAAACCATGGAATGTGCAGCGAGCATATTCTTGAAAGAAATGGGGATGCAGCTGACAGCTGTTATGTAACAAGTGTTTCTTTGCTTGTTTGGTCCATTTTCGTTTGGTTTCTCTAGCCACTGGCCTTTGGAATGGGTGGAGCAACATCGAGCGTCGTGTTGCCTGTACAACTCGACAGGGTACAGTCATCAATCAAAGGGAGCACGTGAGAACTGTCCAGTGTCCCAGGAGGAGATGTGTGGGCTGCTGATTTGCAACCTGGCAGGAGCAGTTCGCGTCACACGCACACCTGCCGCATGTTGCACTTGAAAGTGAGGTTTGTTTTAAGAGTATCCAGGTTCCAATTTCCACTACTGAACGGTTGGTGTGAGTTTGGCTCCACTACTGTCAGGGTCAGGCAAGCTATTCTCGAAGGAATCTTGATGTTGGAGCCTCCTGTTTTGTAGCAAGGGGGCTTTTGGAGTTGTATCATGGACAGGCTGGGGTCTAGCACTGCATTTTGTATTGACCGTGTTGCCGGCTCGGATCATGACAGTCAATGACAAGGAAACTACAAAACGCACTTGATTTCGAAATCAGCGCTTGATGTCCCTTGATTTTGTAGAGCAAAATCCTTACTACTACAAAACGCAGCCCAACAAAAATTGACTTTGATGTCATCATACCCATAGGATCCATGTATGCTATATATGGTAACATTTACCATCAATATACCCCGTTTATGTTAGCATTAATATACCAGCACCATGGGTCCGTCATGGGATATGTGCCTATCATCCCTCTTATCATCCCAATCCGGGACGAGGCAAGGGCTGTCCCACAGTTGAAGCAGGGCATTTGGTGCAGGTTCCGGGGCACCGCACCGCGGGCTTTGGAAATCCACCATAGCTACCGTTTTGGTAATTTATCATAGCAGAAAAAGGATGAAACTCACCAAGTTTTAGATGATTTACCGTGATTCCCCTATTGAATATGTTTTTTCAATAGCTTATGTTAAGTGACTAGGGGGCATATGTGTTGATAATATTATATATATATATATATATGTCAACCGCGGATTGATGAATGCTGATTGATTCATCAGGAGAGTCCACCCCAAATAGTGATAATTGCCAGTAATTTGGTACCCCAAAATTAAATAGCCCAGGCTTTATTCATGTGCGGTTGACATTAGATGATTGTCCGATCAGCCAGTCTGATTTTGCGTTGCCATAAGGGGGATTGGTGGGGGTTGGTCATCCTGAGCTCCCTGAATGCCATAGAATCCATAGAAGGTTGCAGATATGCCTCCAGTCAGATATCCACACTTCTATGTAGCCGTTGTGGCGGCCATATATTCGTACTTTAGTCAATATTTGTTTTGGCAGAACTGTTGATTGAAAAAGCAGCACCCTTGGGCCAAAGAGCTGTTTGTTGCTGGGTGTTGTTGGTCACTATATATATATATTACATATTGACATGGTGCCACCTTCCAGTAAGCAATCATCCATTGGTCAATGGAAATTCAGCACGATAAAAAGAACAAAACAAATTCTAGTCTGTGATCCATCAGGCAATATCAAGCATGTTCAAGTTCACCCAGTTCACCCAGTTCACGTGACCTCCAGTCTGGAGATGTCTGGACACCGCAGGCCACTTCCCAGTTTGATCGTTTTTTTCAACATGGCCAACACGTCGAGTCCCAGCAGCAATCATAGCCCATGGTGATCGTTTGGTGGAACTTGAGCGGATTTCTGACGACTGTTATGCCATATTTTTGGCTCATATAACACTGGGTAGTTTCAACACGCAAGGATTTCTTGCCGTTAGTTGGGGAAATAGTGACCTAGTCATCCTCGTCCACAAGTGCATCGTTTGTGATAGTCCCTCCATGATGTGGTTTTCCCATGCACAAGGGCCCCAGGCTGGGAGGACTGTCAGAGAAGTTATCATTTTTGTTTTTTGGTGGATTAGGTTTCAGTCTTGGAATTTTTCTGTGTTCAGTTAGTATAGATAGGAAAGGTAGATTTGCACAGGAAACCAGTAGACCGCATGAAACCGCTAGACAGATAAATTTGGAAGGATTCGATCAATGGTACCCTCTGGTAAACTAACATAGCTATTGATCATGACCATTTATAGTGGATTTTCCCATTAAAAATGGTGATTTTCCATACTTATGTTAGTTTACCACGGTGTAATCCGTCCCAGCCAGTGGATGCAGCGGGATCCAGTTGGGATGCAGCTGCCAGGATCGCTTCTACCTCGCTGTGTGCAAGGCAAACTGTTTGACCTGTGGCGTTGGGATCTTCTCGGGCAATTTTGTATTCTGGAATCCCGTTTGATTACTGTATATGTCTATGTATAATATTATATATATATTGTATGTATATATATATATATTACTATGTGTATTATATTATATTTTTATTATTTTATATATATATGTGTGTGTGTGTAATAGGTCGAAAGATAAAGGGATTTCAATAATATTACTTCCCACAGTTGCAGGATTACTTATATTACTTCTCACAATGAAAAAGCATTGACATGTCATGAAATGCCTTTTTTTGTACTTGCATTACAGTACATATATATATATATATGTATATTTATATGCAATCACACACACATATAGAGACAGAGAGAGAAAGGGAGGGTAAGAAAAATACTGCAATGGTTCCATGGATTTGTTTTTCAGCTGAGTTCCTTGGACCAGGCGGATGTAGCCGAAACAGACTTTGACCGTGTCAGAGGTATGACATATACATGACGATTTGATATATATATATATATTCATATAATGTTCACATATATATATGTATAATAGTAATACTATATATATATATGTTATATATTTCTGTGTTTTGTTTATTCATTGTATTTGTTGATTTACTTATTTATTTTATATATAGAGACAGTTTTTGACTGAAACAATATCTACGCTATATATTTACATATATATATATATATTCGAAGTGTATGACTTTGAGACTTTGTATCCTGATCATCTCACCTTGCTTTCAGGTAGAGCTTTGAGAGCTCTGATGCCATCCTGAAGCCTCCTAATGTAAGCATCGCAATAGAAACTATCCTATTTATAGATGATTTTCCCATTAGGACCTATACATGTATAGGCGACTTCCCATTGCAATGTTTTTTTTTTAATTGGTGGGTAAATCTGAACTTGAACTGCCTTGGATGTTATGCGGGTTTTGTTCACCGATGAACTCACCAAGCCTGACCCTTTTGATTGCACACGCTGGCGAATGCTGCCGCCATGGCAAGTTTGCTGCGCAGAAAAGCGGGCGTTTTCTGAGGTTGTTTAGTGCTCGACCCTTCACAAAATATGGTTCAGAGAGGTCTCATCGCTCAAATAATGTGTATAATCTGATGCACAATGTGCTTGTTATATCATGATTTGATGAGTCATGAGGTTTGTTTCGGGGAGATATTTAACCAAGCTGAAACCATATGTTTGGCTTAGCAAAGCCAGCCACTTGACCTGTATCCCAGGATGTTCTACATGGATATACTGTATTTGTATACTGTTTCCACGTGAACAATGCTCAAGTTTCTACCGATGTTCTTTGCCCATTTGCAGAGAAAAGTTGATAGTGGATATATCGATGTATATGCGTATATCACATATTGCCAAATATCATAACCATATTCTGTCAGTATTGTCAGTAGAATAGCCACATATCATATCCATATTCAAAGTTAACATGGAATATGATTATTTGAGTGTTGGACTGAATTACCATGAATATTCCACTAATAACCACTGAACATTCATGTTCAAGTAATATGATATGACATTTGATAAATTGATAAATTTGATATTTATATTTACCATTTGGTTATTTAACATAGCCATGGAAAATGGCCCATTTATAGATGGTGTGCCTATTAAAAATTGTGATTTTCCATGGCTATGTTAAATAACCAGAGGGTAGTAATGTTGAGTCCTGATTAGTACCTAGGGTCGCTATTGTGGCAATTTTTCCAAATTATTCTGAAACTCATGTATTGTTTGGAGGGTTCGCTTTTGTGGCAAAACAAAATTGGGAGAGCCCTTTTTTTTGCAAAAAAAACTGTAATTGCTGAGAGGCATTTTTTCTCAAAAACGCTGTAGCTCAGTCAATTTTTTGCTCATCTCCCTATCTGAGCCTGTAAATGCATCTCTATCTGAGTAGGTTTGTTTGCTGGGTTCACTATTGCCGCAAGCTGTGCCAGAGCAGCCCCTGAAGAAGGGAAGCAAGCCATTTCCAAAATTGCCAAATTCAAACTGCAAGCCTTTCCCAAAAGAACCAATCCCTTATTAAACCCTTATTAAAGAACAGCTTTCCCACAATTTTCCAAGGCCCTGGACCAGTAGAGGCCCCATTTCACTTTAGTAGGTTTGTTTGCTGGGTTCACTATTGGAGCAAGCTGTGCCAGAGCAGCCCCTGAAGAAGGGAAGCAAGCCATTTCCAAAATTGCCAAATTCAAACTGCAAGCCTTTCCCAAAAGAAACAATCCCTTATTAAACCCTTATTAAAGAACAGCTTTCCCACAATTTTCCAAGGCCCTGGACCAGTAGAGGCCCCATTTCACTTTAGTAGGTTTGTTTGCTGGGTTCACTATTGCAGCAAGCTGTGCCAGAGCAGCCCCTGAAGAAGGGAAGCAAGCCATTTCCAAAATTGCCAAATTCAAACCGCAAGCCTTTCCCAAAAGAACCAATCCCTTATTCAACCCTTATTAAAGAACAGCTTTCCCACAATTTTCCAAGGCCCTGGACCAGTAGAGGCCCCATTTCACTTTAGTAGGTTTGTTTGCAGGGTTCACTATTGCAGCAAGCTGTGCCAGAGCAGCCCCTGAAGAAGGGAAGCAAGCCATTTCCAAAATTGCCAAATTCAAACTGCAAGCCTTTCCCAAAAGAACCAATCCCTTATTAAACCCTTATTAAAGAACAGCTTTCCCACAATTTTCCAAGGCCCTGGACCAGTAGAGGCCCCATTTCACTTTAGTAGGTTTGTTTGCTGGGTTCACTATTGCAGCAAGCTGTGCCAGAGCAGCCCCTGGAAGCCCCTGGAAGCCCCTGGAAGCCCCTGCAAGTACTACAAGTACTACATGTACTACAAGTACTACAAGTACTACAAGTACTACAAATACCACAACTTCATCGGCAAAAAAAACAATAGCAATTAGATTTCAATTGTAGCCAATTGAAATCCTTACTTAATTGAGGATATGTTTTTCTTTTGGGAAGAAAATTTTTGACTTTCTACTTTAAAGAGAGTCCAGAAATAGTTTAGGGGAGGGGGGGGGCCACACACTAATCAGGACGCAACATTATTGTCGACCTGTTTATGGATGGTTTTTCAAGTTCGAGGTTGGAGCAACGACGTGAGCAGCAGAAGCAGCTGCTCATGGAGCAAACGCTGGCGGCATTCCGGCGGCAAAGTTTGCAACAAGAGAGGAGGACGACATTGGACGACGTGGGAAAGTAACTTGGGACCTGGGATCCGAAGGAAAATTCCATTCACAATCCATAGATTTGACCCAACAATTTCTTCAACAAGGGGGAAGCCATGAAATTCATTCATGGTTAAGGCGAGACAATTCATGATTCATTCAATCAATACTCCATTCACAATAGGTTTGGATGACCGTCACGGATTTTTGGGGATCCCATGGGATCCCCAAAAAAGGGCCGCAAGTTTCAGGTGAGTTATCCATTCCCGGATACCCTCTGGTAAATAAACATAGACCCTGAAAATCACCAATTTTTAATGGAAACTAGTCTTCCAACCCCGATGACTGCCAGGGTCTATGTTAATTTACCGAAGGGTAAATGGGAATGGCTTTGCAATTTGCCCAGAGATGAATGTGAGATGAACATACAGTAATTATATACTGTGGACAAGCCATCCTGCACCAGTTGGCAGACTGGTAGATGGTTTATCCATGTTTATCCCGTTAGAATCCCGTTACTTACAGTGTTTCATAGTTGCCAGGAGTTACCAACATATGGTCATATGATTTTGGGATGAACGTGAGATTAACATAGAGTGACTAACCACAACTTGAGTTGTACAATCATATGGGTGGCAAAACGTTTGAATTGTCACAATATGGTCGATGGGATGAAAGTGTGACTATGATAGATTAACATAGATTAACCACATCCCCAATGCTCCATGCATGGAATATATACCAATATTCATATATACACCACCAAAATTGTCCAAATGTAGGCACAAATTATTTCTTATTCCATACATGGAGCATATGGGTACAGTTGGTAAATTGAATTCACCATATGGAAAGCAACTGGTTGGAATGAAAACAGAAAGTTGCATTTGAATCAACCATATGGTTGAGGTTGATGAATGGGGAACCATATTGGTAGCTTGAATTTGCGAATGTGCCAGGGTTTGACCAATTTCTTCTGAAGGGCGGAATTGGCAAATAATGCATGAATTAGGCTTGGCAAATTGGCAAATTAATTGGGCTAATTTGGCAAAATATGGAACTAAGACAGGGTTTCAGTTGGGCGGGCCAATTGGGTCGGCAAAGTTAGATGAATGTACAAAGTGGTACCACGATAGGGTTTATGGTAGAAACGGTCAAAATATCTATAGGTATATAATTGCGTTTACAAGCCAACACACACCATTGGAACGCACCACATGTTTGGAGATCTACTCTACCCAATAGGAAAAGTGGTTTCCAAACAATAGCTAGTGATGTTTTAGCGGCCCAACGACTCAGCTGGGCTTTACCACCAAATCAATGAGGCATTAACCAACACTCATTGGCCTCATTTGCATAAAACCAAAAAATGGTGCCACGGTAGAAATGACCTTATTTCATTTGTCTCAAAATTCGAAACAATTAGGGATTTCAACCAACCACCGTAGGATCATATAGAATTGTACTTATTTGCGGATTCCACATATTGTGGACATGACCCAGGACAGTTTGGTCGGATTACAATAGGTATAAGTACTATATTCCACCTCACCAAAGAACAGCGACTGCGCAGGAACAGCCAGTTGGGCCACACTTTGTCCGCCGCCGCTCTGGCTTCATCGCCCAAGCCGGGAGTCCTACGCGTCGAGAAGCGTCATGGGGAAAGCTTTGGAAAATGATCTAGTGGCATGGTCGGGAAAACCACATTACTATAAATGTTAGTTTACAGGAGGCTTGTGAAGATGTTATAATAGATGTTCACTAAATAGTTTCCACAACAGATAATTAACCGACATAATAGATGTTTTGATAGATGTTCACTAACTAATATAATTTATAATCAACAGATATTTATGTTATAATCAACTATATCCCCCATCATAATCCGTTCACTAACTAGTTAACTATGTTAAATAGCATGGTAACGAAACCCTATTGATGCTGTGATGGTTGTGACCAAATTAATTCCATGTCTTGACCGTGACATCCGAAGAACTGGCAGGATGTGTGAACCCCTGGTTGACTTAGTAATTTACGTTGTTCCCCCAAAAAATAGTGATCATTTGCTACCAAATGTTATCGCCGCAACTAAGGCCGGGTTTTATTAATGCAGGGTTGACATTACACGTTAGGACATGAGCAAGGACAGCTCACTTGCCATGGGTAATCCTGTGACCATCTCCGTCCTTCTGAGGCACTAGGCTCTGCAGAAGTTCTGAGGTGGAGGGTCTGTCCATGACAACTATTTGGAAGCCATGTTGATTTCAAGGTGTACCAACCACATTAGATGCTTTCGCACCATGCACAAATAGTGTTGTTCATTGCTTGGTTCATTTCATTCTTTTTGGTGCTTTGATGATGTGTGTTTTGAATGTTGGCAACTGCGCGGCATGTTGCTTTCTTGGTGTGCTTGACGCACGCAAAGTCTCACTTTTCTTCGGGATAGCTAGGCGTTTCACACACGGCGCCGGGAGTTTACTGGAGTTCTACTATACATATATATATATACATACATATATATATATATATACATATACGTATATATATATATATATAATTATACCATCATCACATATCACATATCACATATCACACCCCACAACACGTGTAACACATCAAATCCTATATTTATTTGATTATATTTGTGTTGTGACATCCCATGACTTCCCAGTATTCCCTTAGAGACTTCACAGGCTTGGCTCCCGATGAAGGCTATGCAGGAAACCATGTTGGGGTCTGGACGCTAGATTTTCCCATCAGTTCTGGGACGGTAGCCGAAGGCAAATTGCCATAGTTCAAACTGTTCTTTCTTGAAGCTGAATAGCTATTTGCCAACTATTTAGAAGCTATTTAGCAGCTATT